ACAATGAGGAAAAGAACACAAGTCTCTAAACTGTATCCTGCTTCCTTCCCATAGTGACCAACAAGAAAAACTTGGAGCCTGTAGAGAAGTGTCCAAAGTTGGACTTAGCTCTGTAACAAGATTTATGTACAATAACCAATTTAGTATACTTTAGGCAAAATTAAGTACCAAAGAGTTGTATTGCTCTTTTCCCAAGAAAATATGTAGCAACTGATGCTGAACATGCACCGTCACATTACCTAAAGAGTAACATAAGAGGAGACAAGACACAGGCAATAAAAACAGGACAGGATAGAGGGGAAAAAACAAACTGTTCGACACAGGGTGCTATTTTTAATAATTTTATACTCCCTGTAATTTCTATTACTGCATTTCAACTACCAAGACTGCCTCAATCCTTCTTCCCCAAGCAACTGCTGCAAGAAAAAGGGCACGTCCTAAGCTCCACGGTTCTCCTTCCTTCCCCCACAAGCGGTAGCCTGTTCCACGTCACACACACAACTCCTCTCCAACACGAGCAACAGCTACACATACTCAACACCACAAGAAGCCCAGAAACTTGCCTCCCAGCCTTCCAACAAACCACTCGTTACTAACATCACTTATAGACCCAGCCACCCCTCAGTGCATCTTATTTGTCCCCATATCTGGAAACCCCCAATGCAGTTTAACTTGCTCAGTTCTCTGAAACTTCCCGCAAACGCATTCTCCTCCACGATGGAAATGGCATGCCCTCCCACTTGTACCAACCACGCTGCTCACAGAACAGAAGGGGCAGAATGTAAGTGTAGATGGACTGATGAGTTAAATACATTAGAAAAAAAAATAGTGAAGCAAGTATACCAATGTCTCCAACTAGGGTTTGAGAGCTGGATGTGGCCCAGAGATGTTTTGTTTCGTCCAGCAGGTGTTTTAAGCCAATGTTTAAAAGTAAGAAAAGAAAGAGGAAAATCCAGACTTCAGCCTTCTTTTGAGAAATGTAAAGATCTGGCAACCCTAAGCCCAGGTCCCTGCAAAGTGACAAGCGCTGGCGCTGAGTAGCAGCTGTCCCCTAGTTCAAATAATCCCCCACTTTACTGTCCACCTGGCCTGCTTCACTGGTGGTTCAGTGGGCATCTGGGGGACATCTGACTTTGCTACTCCTGAACTACAGAACACTAAAGGATCTATTAGACAGTAAAGCATAGTCAATAAAGATCTTCAGTGATATATTTAAGAGTGATCTTTTGTGAGAGCACTGGACAAAGTGTCTTCTCCTCATTCAGTTTTGGCCCAATGAGTTTCTTAAAGGACTCCAAATAATTTATTGTGGTCTTTAAGAAGACCCTAATAACGAAGAAGAACCTGTAAACAGTGACTGAAAGACTATTAAAGATAAAGGCCGTTTGGAACAGAATGCCTGAACTAAACTAAAAGATCAAAATCTGTGGGGTAGTCAGTTAATAGAGGTTAAAAAATCCCATACATGTTTATGTTACAAAGAATTTATGACATGTACAGAATAAGACAAGAGCAGTTCTCTACAAGAGTGATATGTTTAAATAAACAGTATTTCTTATTTAGATAGCACTTTAAATATTTCCAACATTAAAAATCTATTTTTCCTCTGACGTTGACAAAACACCTGTGCTATAAATATAAAGTTGGCTAAGCAGATCTTGTTTTCCCCTCACAGATAGCAAAGCATAAAAAAGCCAAGGGCCTCTCTACTAAGGTCACCCAGCTAGTTAATATGGCAAAAACAGGATCAGAATCCAGCTGTGTTAACTCATAATCCTGTGCTCCTTCCACTACAATACATTGTTGCTGCCTCTTATCCACCGGATATCCCACAAAGGCGAGAAAAGCTATTCCAGGGATTACAGAGAAATGTGGTTCCACAAGAGACTGGAAGAATCCATTCAATGACTCTGCACCAAAGTCTCCAAAATTCCTTCCAATTTCAAGGATGGAACTGGCCCTTCTACTCACTTTCAAATCCCCAGAGTCTTTCAATTCCATAGACACTGTTTGGTACTACATTTGTGTGTCATATGTATGTCTTGTCCTCCCAATTGTTTTGAAAGCTCCAGGAGAGAATAACTATCATGCCCCTTTGTATGTCCAATGTAAATGCTCAAATACTTTCTTTACATAAAAACTTAACAAAAAACTGCACCTCTTGTTCTAAGAAACAAAGAGCTAGAAGTAACCTTAAGTGATTTTCAGAAATAATGACAAGAACATCTAAATTATAATATGAAGGAAACAAAAGTAAGAGGAAAAGGTGGCTAGTTTTATGTTTTATAAGCCTCTAAGAATTAAGCCCTCTTTTTATCACTGCCAAAAAAAAAATTTTAAGGGAAATGTAACCCTGGTGTGTTAACATTTTGCAAGATTTTACATACAATATTTAAAACTTTATTTACTTAAAATACAAATAAACATATAATATATGCATAAGTCTAAATAGACATATATAGACATCTGAATTTGCTACCACTGAATACCAAAAAAACCTCAGTTGTTTAGGAGTCATCTTTTGTGACAGCCCAGAGCCTAGAGCTGGATGAAGCGTCTTCTTCCAGGTCACTTTTAGCTGGACGTTTTTCTTACAAGGGTCCAAATAATTTGTTATAATATACATATTTAATACCTATAATACTCATGGCAAATAAAGGCTTCAAGAGGTAGGACATTTTAAATCTCTACTTAGAATGGAAATAAGAGAGCAGCCAAAAGAAAAATCTAGAGAATTACAGCCCATTAATTTGAATTATAACAAGAGCAACATTTTATCCCTGCACAATGACAGTGCCTGGAGATATCCCAGTTATTTGGTGGAACTCAAGTTTACACATCAACCAACTTCTTCAGAACATTGGTTTTTCCATGCCAAGTACGATCCAAGGGCTCCCCAAGATGATTTAATGCTAACTCTGAGGCAGTACATCACATACTGAATCATATTACTTATAGGATCATATGCTAGGAATTTTTCCATTTGCAAAGGACAATTCTAATCCTTAGTTTTAAAACCTATGGAAAAATAAGCACTCTAATGTAGTGCTGGAGGGAATGGAAACTGGTAACTAAGGAACTGGTAATTTGGTAATATATACCCAAACTAAATAAACTAAATAAACACATAAATCTTTTGACCTAAAAATTCCACTTCTAGGAATCTGTCCAACAGATAAACTCACAAATGTGTGAAATGCCATGCTACTAAGTAATTTACTGTAGCACTATTTACAAAAGCAAATTTTTGGAAACAACTTAGATCATCTGGGGACTGGTTAAATAAATTGTGGTATGTCCACACAATGGAATACCATGCAGCCCTAAAAAGAGAGAGAGAGAAGGAGAGAGAGAGAAGAAAGCTCTCTTTGTACTGATAATGAAAAAATCTCCCAAGTTAGAGTAACTGGAAAGAAGCAAAGAGCAGAACTGCATCTTCTGCAATGTGTAAAAAGAGATGTGGGGGTGGGGTTAATACATGTGTATACAGAGTTACACATAAACATCTCTAGAAGGACCCCCAAAAGCATTACATGCCTCTAGGAAGTGAGATTATGTGTGTAAACAACAGAATGAAAGATTTTTCACTCTATAATTTTTCAGTTCTGAACCATGTGAATATATTGCCTGGTTAAAACATTAAATTTCACCAACGTATTAACTTGTATAAAAAAAGCCATAGGGGCACCTGGCTGGCTCAGTCAATAGAGCATGTGACTCTTGGTCTTGGGGTCATGAGTTTAAACCCCACACTGGATGTAGAGATTACTTAAAAATAAAAAAATTAAAAAAGCCATAGTATGTTATGATTTATAATTTGAGAACATTATATTGTAATTAAACACTACAGTTTAAGTAACAACTTCTGCTACTCTTTCCATCAAAACACCCACCAGTCCATCCCTAAAAGTATTATATAGTCACAGAATATAAAGCCAGAAGGAGCCTTGAAAAATCTTCAAAAAAAGAAAACTGGGGCCCAAAAAGGTTAAATAACTTCACCAAAGGACAATCTGTAGGTGGCAAAGTATGGCCTACAACCTGACCTACATTCCAAAGTATTCTCATACATTTCCGCCACCCCAAACAGATTCATTAGCACAAGGAGCCAACCACTGTCAACCAAGATCCCAGTTGCATCTGGAGGATAACAGGAATGACAGGGCTATGTAAGCTGACCTCCTATCTCTGTGGGATACTTTCTAATGCTCAGAGAGGAACCAGAAGGGGTCCTGCTTTTCATGAGTTATGTTTCAGCAAAGTGCCATGGAGTAAAGCCATAGGATAAAGATGGGGAGGGAGGGAGCTTTCCTACAAACTCAATTACACTAGAAAATGTGAGAAAAGTGTTAAGCAACTGCACAATCAGGTAATTAGAATTCACTTTTATATTAAAACAAATACCAATCTACATATGGCACCGGATGTAAAACGTACATGAATGTTTAAGGTAAACAAGATACTTTCAAAGAAATTCCATGCTGCTGCTGATTGATTCTGATCCCACAAATGTGTGTGCTAGAAATACACACATTCATTCTCTTAAACTCGAAAGAGGCAGGAAGGCTTGAGAACTACTACACCAGAGGAATTAAAGTAGCCTTCTCAATGGCAGTGGAAAAGGCAAAGGATTAGGGCTAGACAGACCTGGCTATGCAGCCTGGTTCTTGCCACTGTGTGACCTTGAGCTCAGAGCCTCAGTTTCTTCATTTGTAAAATGTGGTCAATATTACTTACTATGTAGTTTTACTAGAAGGATGGGAGATAATATATGTTAAGCAACCTGCCTGGACTCTAGGAGGAGTACAATAAATGATGGTTACTGTTACAGCCACCACAAACCCATCAGAATCTCTGTCTAACCATTTATCTGGATTCAATTTATGAGAACAAAATAAGGTGGGCAATGGATATTATAAGCCCTCACAACCAGTCCCCGGGGGGGGGGGGGGGAAGCCAGTAAGGTAAAATTACCTAAATGAAGAGTATATTATACTCACATATTTCATTTCAAACTTCTTAGCCAACATTTCCACTTCTTGCCTCTCTTGATGCTCATCATTAAATGGGTCTTCTGTGTGAATGGGCTTCCTCTGATTCAAAGTAAAGAGGAAAAGAAATAGAAGTATTAATATTACTTCAACTGGAGTTTAATGTATCCTTAAATTTAATAATTACAGTCAAATTTTCCAAATATTAACAAATAAGTTAGAAGCATTAAAAATAACTAGAAAGAAATGTTGGTTTGTAGCAAAAATACTTGCAGTTTTAATGGATTCTTACACATTCTCAAGTTTTTCGTTGGTTAAGAACTCAACAAATCAAATTGTCTCCTCCTACAAAATGATCTATGGTCACCCCGTCCAAAATAAAAAGGCCAAAAATTCCCCAAGAAAATTAGGTAAAAATGAAAATCTCACTTATAACTCTAGTTTGAGATCTTCCCCCAAAAAATAACTGCTTTGGTCAGGAAATGCTTCTCAAAGGATTGCCAGGTTATTAATCGGCATCAACCCTGAATCATCTGCCCTGAGCTATCACAAGGGTATCTGTAGCTGCTACAGCCTTCTGCTGAGGCCCAGCATCAAAACCTCAATCTACATCACCTCCTTCTTGTCCATGAATATTCATTCAGGGAGTACATACTACTCTTAAAGCTAGAAAAGTGAAAGCTGCAAATAGATTACATTACCGTGGCTTCCGTCCAGCAGGGGAGAATGAAAGTTTATCATAATACATGGTTTTAAAAAACCACACACACAGCTAGGGTCCCACATTTACCATCTATTTACCAAAACAAACAAAAAGATAAATCACATCCTTTATTCAAGTTTACTACTTTAGCAGACACCTTTCATAAAAATAAGAGGTTTTCAATACAAAAAAGGGAAAACAAGGAGCTGCATATGAATAAAAATGCTACTTGTATCTAATTATGGACAACTGACTAGAAAGTTAATCTTTTAAAAAAGGAAGGTTAGATGTTTTTACTGAAGTAGCATTCTTCAAGTAATTAAAAATAAAGTATATTACAACTGAAAGACTGGATACAGATTCAGCTGAACCTGAAGAAAAAAATGCAGAAGGGACAAAGATCTGCACACTTGGGAAATGACACACTTCATCCTGGATATGAAGGCTGAGATACAATTAGTCTAAAAATATGACAGAAAAACATGAAAAGAATAAATACAAACAATTCACAGACCTAAGGCATTAGAATAAAGGAATACTCTTAAAGCTTAAAAAATTAATTTCAGAATCTATGTTTTAAATTATCTATTGAAATAAGTAATGTATTTACAGAATCCTTTATCCCAGAGTTACCAGTGGAATAAATATATATGACCTGAAAGGAATAAATAAACCAGCAGGAAGACACTGATAATGAAATAAATACTAGGCATGTTCAGGGGATAGCCTTAACTTAAGACTAAAGGACAGTGAGCAACCACCAAGCCTTGACATTATCAACTGTTGCTTCATGTCACTGTGAAGTCCAAATACAAAGTCTTATTACTGGTCTGCCTCATTTTATATGTGAAATATAAACACATGGACATGTATTTTTTTAATAAGAATCACCTTAAATGCCATTATATAACATTCTGTATAGACTTTATAGAGGACTCAAGAGTAAATCTCTTACTCTTGACAGTCTATAAAAATAGAGTTAAGAAAAGTGACTCACTTTTCTCTCATATTAAGAAATAAACCCCTACCCACAATCAAGGCTCTAAATGAGCTTCATGTTTTTCACGTGAAAAGATAATCTGCAAATCAGTAAATATCAAAATTACCAATTACCGATAGGCAATAACATTATAAAAATTTTGTCCTTTGATGTTAACTCATTAACACCATCTTCAGGATATCTTTCACAAGTTATCGAAAATATGCAGTATGACAAGCAATGGAATAGTACAGCATTCCCTAACAGTATAACTACATTGACACTATAATCACTTATTCTTCTTTTTATAGTAAATGCTCAATTAACCACATTCACAAGTGGATGTTCTGGTTAAGTGATTCTCTGGTTTACTATGAGTAAACAAAAATTACTTGCGTATCAATTATTGCCAGAACTTATTTCTAAACTGTGCTATTTCTCTTTAGTCAGAAATGGTGAACAAATTAATCTTTGAGGATAGAGACGATTGCAGTTCCTCAGTCATCATCCTGAACCACCTCACTCAGGGTTTAGTAGTCTACAGAGATAACAAGGTTAAAGGTTTAGCTACCTTGTGTCCTTACGACCTGACAAGAAGGGGTTTTGTTTTTCATATTTTGCCAACATATGCTCATTTAACTGTGCTTTTCCTCATTAAAAAAAAGTGTAAAAAAAATTCTGATTGCACTCAGTTAATCAGGGTTTTACTGTTCATTTCATATTTATGAAGGGGGATGATTTAAATGCACCCAATAGAGGTGGTATTCACATGCGACAGATTTATAACTATACCTATCAACTAAAATCTTACTCAGTGATAGATGGCTACTTCAAAATTTAGAATCTTTTTTCTTTTCATTTTATACCATCTCTTTCCCTCCCCTTTCTACTCAAACTGTTACATGATAAATTGCTCAGTTACAACAACTCAAAATTTAGACTATTTTGAAAATATTATAACATCCTTAAAAATAACTAGACTCTCCTTGAGGGGAAGAAAAACCAAATTTGGGAATCGCCACTCTGCAGATCAATTCTATTGGTCTCATTTTGCCTTTTGTTGGTTTCTACTACTAGGATTTCCTTTCATGGAAATATGACAACTTCATTTAGAGAAACGTTTTCTATAATTCCTTATGTAATAAATACGTTCATTGGGAGTAATCATTGGTAAATCTGGCAAAACTTGGTCACAAAGGTGCATTGTATAAACAATGGATTTTTTAAATTCAGAATACAACAAATGATATATGGCTGAATATACAAGAAAATTTGACCAATATACCTCTAAGTTGATAGTATAAACAGAAAAATTAAACTGAATTATTTATTTTTCTCCTATTACAGAAAACTAGTAGTTCTGATATCAGGTTAGCAAGGAAGGGTGTCAAAATTAACTTTTTTGTCATAATTAAAAGGTACATATCTATTATTAATTTATCATGGCATGAATATCATAGCATCAAGAGGATAACAGAAATCTCTGTATTTCTACTAAAACTCTCATTTTAGTTCATTTTGGCAGGACCCTCTAAATTTAAACTATACAATTTTAAGAAATTTTGTTTTACTAAGAATTGGTACTAAGAATTTACTAAGAATTGTTTTACTAAGAATTGGTATAGAAAGAAGTACTAATAAAATTACGTACAAGCACTTTGTGCATTAGCCTCCTCAATTGTAAAGTGGGGATAATGGTTCCTACCTCAAGGAGCTCTGCTGAACTAAATTTCATAAGCCATACCTTACTTAGAACTGTGTCTAGCATGCACATAGGAATAATTCAGTAAATGTTAGCTACCATAATGTACTTTTACCCAAATATGATGCTTTTCATCCGTAATTTATAAAGTAGGTTAGGGAGTAAAACTGCAAACTCACTTAGATTAGATCAAATACAATTTGAAAAATGCTCCAATCTAGTATTTTCAAAATGCTTTTAGAAAAAAAATAACATCACATTTATAAATAGTAGGGGCACTAACTTAGGTCTGAAGGACAAAATGTTTGTGGAAATGGCCAAAATGATCTCTACCCTTAAAATTCATTTTGCTTGCAAACATTTAGTAGTGATTTGACCACACAACAGCATTTGTAAATAATGATCAAAAGATTAATTGCCTTAAAATAAACAAAATCCAGTGACATTGTTTAATATGATATTTTTAAACCAAAGAATCATTGTTTTAACTATAAAGATAGTTGAGAATGAAAACAAAACAAATGACTTCTGGAATCCATTAGACCTGTGCTAAAGCAAAACGTACGAGCATAATCTCTAAACAACAGAAGAAACTGTTCTATTACTGTTACTCTATCATTTCCCCTTCTGGTTTACTTCTAAAGATCACCAAAACCTACAATAAAAATTACAATTACCAACAAACCTCTCCTATTACTGTTGTTCACCAGTTCCATCAAAGGCATACCTATATATTTTCAACAGTTCCTAAAAATTCAAAGCTGCTTTTCATCGTTCTCCAAACGATATTTATTTTGATATACACTCAAAATAAGAGCGTATGACGGTAGGCGCCAAATAAAACAGGAGACACCTTCCCATTCAATCACAGTAAAAACAAGCTCTAGAGAAAACAAAGCTAAGTAGGTGTAGCAATACCAAGGTGAGAAAGAAAATATGTAACCAAGTAACTAATCCGCTTCTTCATTCCTAGAGTGGAATCCTTAGTCTGAAAAATTTTAGATTACTTTCAAATACCCTTCGATTAAGAGAAATACCCCCACGCTCGCAAGCACATCTCGGCGCCAAGCATAACAAATAGTGATGAAGAGGAAGATGATATGGAGGGGTTACACTATCTCGCTGCTTCGGATGGGGGGCGTGTCCCCCAAGGTTTTCTCTTCCTTTCTACTGGAACGACTGCTGGAGCTCCACAAGGAAAACCCAACCACGTAACTTGCAGAGACCCCAGATTTTGCGTGGGGAGCAGAAAGGAGTAAATTCTGAGGTCTCGAAACGTGCAGAGGAAAACCGGCTCGGAGCGGCGTTTGGAGCGGGAGCACGAGGCGGGGCGGGGGGGGGGGGTCGGTGAAGCCGGGTGGGAGCCTTGGCCAACCCTAGGGAGCAGGGGAAAAGCAGCACCAACCACTCGTCCACCCGCTCGGCCCCTGCCCGCTCCAGCCCACCCTCCCAGGCGACCTGAGACGCGCAAAGCCGGCGTCGGAAGGTGCGAACCACTGGGAGAGGCGGACGCGTCCTGAGGCTCCCAGGGGCTGGGGGGTGAGGGAGAATCTTCTGTACCCGTTGTTCTCCGCACAGCAGCAGCTCCGGGTAACTGAACTCCACGCAGCTCTCGTCGGTGGGATCCTTGAGCACCAGCTCCAGGCGCACGGTCTCCCTCGGCGGCCTCTGCTGCGGCTCGGCCCGGGAAGCCGACTCTCGCGGCGGGGGCGGCTGCAAGTGCAGCTGAGAGAGCGGCGGCGGCGGCGGCGGCGGCGGCTCGGGCCGCGGGGGCTCCCGCTGCAGCGACATGGGCGGCTCGGCGCGGCTGACCTCGCGCTGGGGGAGCGGTTTCTCCCGCGGCGGGGGCTGTGCGTCCGACCGGGGGGTAGCCTCCCGCGGGGCGGGCTGCTCCACCCGGGCCGGTTCGCGGTACGGCTGCGGCTCCAGCCGGGGGGGCTCGCGAGGGTATTCGGGCTCGCGTTCGGCCCCCGGGTAGTCGGCCTCGCGCCGCCTCACCGGTGACAGGCTAATAAACGCTACTCTGCGTGGCTCCGCCATCCCTACTGTTCTGGCCCTCTGCCTTCGCTCGAGCCGGCGCTCGGTTCTACGCCGAGTTGTTTGCCTGCCCGCCCTTCCTTTTGCTTTCCGTCGCTCTTCTTCCCTCCACCACCCTCAGTCGTCTCTGCCGACGCCACCGTGAGTGCGGACCGTGCCCCCTTCCCCGCCACTATGTTCTGATGGGCTCCACCGCCATCGCCAGGGTCGCCGCAGCCGCCATGTTGGATCCCCCACATAAATAGAAGCAGGCCGCTGAGCGGGCGCATGCGCAGACAGGAGACGCTCGCGTCCACCGTCGTGGCTGCGGCTCAGTTTTCCTCTTTTCCTCCCAACAGTCTGGAGTCCAGACAGGTCAGCGGAAGTGACGTTGTGGCAGGGCCGGTTTCCTTGGAAACGAAGACGCCGTCTGCGCCCTTGCTAAAAGGGAGGGGTCTGGGGTTTCCCGAGCTTCCCATTTGCACCCGGAAGCCGGCGACGCATGTGGGGCTCAGCTAGGTGCGAGCGTCTGGATGTGCCTGGGGCTGACCTCGTCATGGCGCTGGGGCCCGCCGGGCACATACCTCCCGCGCTCGGCTCTAGAGAACTGGGGTAGTCAAGCAGGTTATTCGAGGCGGATACGGAGAAAGGGTGGAGGGACGCGAGGACCAGCCGCAGTGCCTGCCCGCCCAGCGCCCCGCAGCCCGAAGTACAGAGGGAAGAAAGGAAATGGCTAACTCCAGCCGGACTCGCCCTGCGGCTTCTCTCCGCAGGGCGCAGCACTGACTCCCACAGGCCTCCCTTTCCTAGACCGACTCCTGTTTTTCTCGCCCGGCCGCGGTGGGGAATGTGTGTGTCACGGTCGTAAAATACTCAATACCGTTTTGCAGTTGGGTGATTGAACGAGTAAATGAACAGTTCTGGGCTCGTCCATAAACTGTTGAAATTAACAGAAAACTTCTCAAGAGGATTTGGTGGTATTTTAGGGAACATACTCTATGAAAGTGGAATCTAACTGACCCATTTCGGGATGGAGTGGAACCTTGATTGGGAATGCCTTGTAGGCACGCCTGTGATTAATTGGAATTCAGATTTAAAAGGATGAGTTTATTGCCCATTTTAATGCATTAAATGGAACGCAAATTTGAGGGCCCGCTCTCTGAATCCTGAAGAGAATTCATACCTTCTGCTGCTAATTTCAGTAACCGGATAAACAGTGTTAACACCTATTGATGACTATTTGAGTCAGTATGAGGTCATAGACAAATTCCCAATTTTTTAACTGTTACTTTTACTAATTGTATGAAGATAGCGATGGAATGGATGTCTCCAAAGGTCCCTCCCAGCTCTAAATTGCTATCATTTTTCCTTGGCGCTCTGTTTTATCTCCATTATCTTTGCAGTTGCTCCCATTCTGATTCTGCACTAGTGGTCTCATTTCTAGATTATTTTAGTAGCACTTAAGTGACCTTTCTGTCCCCAGTCTCTTCCTGTCAGTCTTGCAATGGGACTATATTAATGCTTCTCAAACACGTTTTTGTTTTAAGATTTTATTTGGGAGGGAGAGAGAGAATCTGAAGCAGACTCTGCACTGGGGGTGGGGGGGGCTTGATCCCACAGCCCTGAGCTCATGACCTGAGTGGAAATCAAGAGTTGGACACTTAACTGACTGAGCCACCCAGGTGCCCCTAAAACACATTTTTATTACACCATTATTTGTCCTAGCTGCAACTTACCTACAAAGTAAATTCTATACTTCATATGGAATGCATAGTCAATATCATCCACAGTTTAGCTCAGACAGCAAACTGGTGGTCTGTGGGTCAGATCATTCTGCAGGTGTGTTACTCTTCCAAAGTTATCTTCTAACTTCTAAGGCATTGTTTTTCTGACGTTTGAACCACAACTCACAGCAAGAAATAGATTCTACACTGAAACCCAGTATACACACACATACGTGTCTGAAATACAAGTTTCACAAAATGTATTGTGTGAAATAAAGGAAGAACAACAAACTTAATACAATGTAAATGTATTTTATAATACAATGTAGAAACCAATCTTAATATAAATAGTACAGAAGCAAATTAGTAACGGTTTTATTTAATACCATGGAAGTCTTTGCCTATTCATAGGCGTATTCCAGTTCAGAATGCATGAGGACAATGCTGCATATACATCTGGTCTACTATTGAGCCTGATCTTTAACTTTATTTTTAAAATGGATCAAATTGAAAATCCTACTTCGCATACATAGGCATTGTGAATAGTAACATGAATTCACTTTCTTCTTAGCAATAATTTCTTTAATCTTAGTCTAACATAGTGATAAATTTCATGTATGGCAATCATTTTTTCTGTGTAAATGAGGTACTAAACCACAATAATGTATTCTCTTCATAGAAGATCAACTTTAATTCAATTATTTAAGGTTTTGAAAACCAAATGACTCCTATAATTTTCATTTAATATTTTAAATTATCTTCTGTTTTTAGTAGTTTTCAATAATTTTTTTGTATCTCTATAGTTTCCCAATCATATTTGTTGTCCCATCACTTGCAATTCTATTTTAAATTGTATAAAGTTTTTTAATACATTATGTTATTATCCATTAATATAATGGATAACATTTTATCCATTATAAACTGTAAAAAGGTTTTTTATTGACTTAAATGCTGTTTTCTAATTGTGAATATATTTTTCTCCATACAGAAAATAATGCCTCTATAAAATTGTTTTGCTACACATATCTGGCATAAAAGTATTACACAACTCGCAGTATTAGTACTCTCATCAAGTTGGACTATGCCTGCATGGTAATCATTGATTCTTCTCAATGTTCTGTGGTAATTGAGTTGATATTATGTTATTGCCAGGAAGCATAGCTTTGAATTTATCAGCCTCTTTGCCGCCAAAAACACATGCACCGACATATTGGAGGAAGCAGTTTCTTTTTTTTTTTTTTTAAAGATTTTATTTATTTATTTATTTGAGACAGAGAATGAGAGGGAGGAGGGTCAGAGGGAGAAGCAGACTCCCTGCCAAGCAGGGAGCCCAAATGCAGGACTCGATCCAGGGACTCCAGGATCATGACCTGAGCCAAACGCAGTCGCTTAACCGACTGAGCCACCTAGGCGCCCCTTGGAGGAAGCAGTTTCTTAGCACCTAGTATGAACCATTTCTCTTCTGCCACAACTAAACACAAAGATTGTCTTTCTCATTAATGTTTGTGAAGCAACTGAGAAATTGTGCCAATAACTTTATGCCCTTTTCCTTATGAACATATTTTAAGGATTTATATGCTATATTTTCAAATGTCCTTTAATTTTGAAGATATTAATCTTTCCTTTGCCAGAAATGCATTATCTTTTTCTTCTTTGAATGAAATGTAAAGTCTGTTTTCTGATTATTAGAGGAACATTTTTTTTCCCAGTATTTTCACTGCACTTCCAAATCTAGCAGCTACAACTGAACACAGCTCCTGTAATTTTAACTTTATTCTTTTCCTTCTAATAAGCAACTTCTTTGAGAACAATTTACACTGATTTGATTAATAAATGGTACACACACACATACATGTATAGCGCACACATACACCATCTGTGATGACACACCTTTCCCCAAAAACATACTTTAAGTTCTTCATTGGAACTCAATTGAAAAGTCTGGATTTCCTATCAGCAAATAAAATTCCCCTGTACATCATTTCATAAATCACAGGTAGTTGTGATAAATAAAATTAGACTGTACAATGTTATCTGTCCAACAAATTAACCCAGGAATTCCAGTGAGGTATCTGCTCACATATCAGCTGTCTCCTGGACTCTAGCCTTGAATAAGGATTAGTGAGGTGCCCTAATACTTTCAATCCAATTAAATTCTATTGTAGTCTGTTTCTTTTTTTTTTTTTAAGATTTTATTTATTTATTCATGAGAGACAGAGAGAGAGAGAGAGGCAGAGGGAGAAGCAGGCTCCCAAGGAGCAGGAAGCCCGATGCGAGACTCGATCCCAGGACCCTGAGATCATGACCTGAGCCGAAGGCAGACGCTTAACCATCTGAGCCACCCAGGCGCCCCTATTTCATTTTTTTTAAATGCTGCTTTGACCTTTAAAATTGATTTCATAGTCTTCTAACTGGTTGCAATCACCAGTTTGAAATGGATAGCCACCTTAGAAGTTAGAGACTGAATGGATGAGGAAAACTTAATTTTGTTGCTTTGGGGATTTTTTAGAGGTAGAGCACGTCTACCTATGCATTTCCTTGTTCAGTAGTAAGGGACTTTGAGTAGGATGCAAAGAGGTCGAAGTCAATTCCTCTTGAATGCAAAGTCAGAATACCTTTGTCTAAGATCTTAGATTATCTAAGATATCTAAGATATACACATTATCTAACTGTAATGCTATAAGATCATGCATTTTGTTTTTGTTGGATAAAATACACAACATGGGGTGCCTGGGTGGCTCAGATGGTTAAGCGTCTGCGTTCAGCTCAGGTCATGATCCCAGGGTCCTGGAATCGAGCCCCGCATCGGGCTCCCTGTTTGGTGGGGAGTCTGCTTCTCCCTCTCCCTCTACTGTTCCCCCTGCTTGTGCTTTCTTGCTCTCTCTGTCAAATAAATAAATAAAATCTTTTTAAAATACACAACAAATATAAAATATCCTGTGAGATCAAGCTATTCATACCGTTTTCATGAAAAATTACTATCTACAACATCTTCAGCACAGCAATTTGATAATTTTACCAGCTCTCAAATCTCGTATTGAAGATTAATGTTCAGTCCAGCGTGTGGTAATCTTGCACCTGTGGAGACGTATAGAGAAAAGGGACAAACCAAACCCACTGTTTAGTGCTTCTCCTTTAGCGTTACATCTTACAGGTAGAGCAGCAGGGTTGTCCCCAAATTCCATGAATATGGTAAGATGGTTGCCTTTTAGAGTTGAACAATAGGAGAAAGCTTAATTGGCAATAGCATTGACAATCAACATAAAAAAGTAGAACAGACCACAGTTCAATGTCATGTTAATCCTTCTTATGTTAGACACATTTGAGTCAAGAGCAGAATGTTTTGGGACGATCCAAAAAGGAAGAATATAAAAGAGAAAGAAAAGCAAGGGCCAAGTCTGTGAAGGGAGCAAACTTGGTGAGTTAGAAGAAAGGTCAGAGTGACTAGGTGGAGAGAGAGATAGAAGAGGCAAATCTGAGAGGGAGACAGGAGTCAGCTTACACGGAATGGTGTAAGGAGTTGGGATTTTATCATAATTGAAAC